ACTCCCTGCAAACGGTCAATGACTTAGGGTTCAGGAGTTGAGGGTTTAAGGTTGCCATCAGATATTTGCTTAAGGGCTTGCGGCTTCGTGGGTTGGGGCTAAGACCCTAAACCCTAAACCCTAAACCCTAAACCCTAAACCCTAAAAACTAAACCTTAGCCGGGCCCAGGCTGAGGGTTTAGGGTTTAGGGTTTAGGGGCTACCCTGGAAGATCCAAGGCCAAGTGAGGGATTTGAGTTTAGGGTTTAGGGTTTAGGGTTTAGGGTTTAGGGAGCTGCTGGAATATATAAGTAATAGTGTGTTTTCGGGCTTAGGTTGCTGCGCCACCCAAGCCCTAAGCCCTAAAGCCTGAACCCAAAAAGTTGAAACCTTTGAAACCCTGAAAACCCTAGGCCCTAGATCCTAAACCCGCAGGCTTAAATCCTAATCCCCACAGGCCCAAACTCATCCCGAACCCTGAACCCTAGACCCTGCCTGGGTTAAGGGTTTAGGGTTTAGGGGTTTCGAGTCTATGTTTTCAATTAGCCTACCCGACTTCTCAGGGCAAGAGTACCAAAGTCTGCAGCATAGGCTCTTACACTCTTAGACATGTGAGTGTTTGTCAATACTTGTTGTTTCAGGCCTGGTCATGGATGATTTGCGGGGTCCTATCGCTTTACAGAGATCTGGTCGGCGTTGAATGTGGGGTATCTTTTTTTTACTCTGGTCAAATTCATAATCGTAGCAGTACGAGTAGCAAAGCAAAAGTAGCATTAGTTATATTGGTCATAGTAATGGTGGTGATCTCACTAGTGTAGTAGTGAGATCAACTGTAGCAATGATGATTCTATCAGATGGGGCAGTGGCTCATAAGCCGACCTGGTGGGCATCGACTGGGTATCTCGCCACATCTCACACGGTAAATTTAGGTACAACTGCCGCGGCAGCGCTGACATTTCACAAAAGATGGTCTTTGTTGCTCGTTTCGCTGCTTTTGGAGGGGGTCCTCTCGCTTTGCGAGGGTTCCCGCGAAATTTGACATTCCACGACCACCCTACTCTTCACTGCAAGTGCGGAAGCTTTGATGGATGCTCAATTGAAATGAGAAGGGGTTGCGGTTGCAGTATAGCATTTTTGCAATAACAAGGAAGAAAACGGGCGTAATGATTAATCATGATAACTAATGGGGATCCCCGATGAGGAGTAGTACTGATTGTGAAAACCCTTGCTTTGGCCTGAGCCCTCTGAAGGAAAACAAAACTTGACTGCAGTGGCAGGAATTTTCGTCCTTGTGTGGAACCTCCCAGAGTCCAGGAAACATATCTTCGGCCCGCTAAAGCGTAAACCCGAAACCACTAAACCCATACCCCTCCAAACCCTACTTTGAAACCCTAAACACCCTGAAAGGAAACCTTGGCAGAGAAACCCTTAAAGAAACCTTTAAACAACACTCAAAGGAACTCTTAAACCAAAAACGAAGGTCTGCATCAGGATGTGGACTTTGCGGGTTTAGGGTTCAGGGTTTGAGGCTCCTCGTCTTTGGTCTCCGAAGGCAATGCCGTCCTCGCCCACTTAGAAGCAACGTGTTGAAGGTGGTCGATTTCGGCTTATGTTGGTTATTTGGATTTTGGTGGTTTAGTTTGGCTTTTTGGGGCTTGGGCCTAGTCGTTGGGGGTGTCGAAGGCGAGGGTACAGACGCTAAAGCTCTGACCGCCGCCTTCTGGTGCACTGGCCCAGGCTCAGAACAAAATAATCAAAACGGCATCACAGTCACCAGACGAAACCGCCAAAACAGCACAGCACATCGTCAGCCGGAGCACGAGTAGCACCACCACCGCCGCCACACCACCACCACCACCATCATCACCATCCTCACCAGCACTGATCAGAACGTAATCGACCGAGCGAATATCGTACATCTGAACAGAACTTTGTGGCCTTTTGCTTTAACCTCCCTGAATCTCTTCAGCCCCTGAGGAACAACAGCTAGATCCCAATGCACGCACTTCACCCCGAAAGGCGCCGAAATGGAAACGGTTTAGGGTTTAGGGTTTATAGGGTTAAACACGGGCCCAAAATAACTAGACCAGGGTTTGCGGGGTTAGGAGTGTTGTTGTAGTGAATGAGCCCGAAGCAGGCGCTAGCTGCTATTTTTACGAGGTCTCGGTGCTAACACTTCTTCTTCAAAAGTGAAGCTTAAACCTCGAAAGTATTTTCTAGAACCGTTCTGAATCTGCCCATAAAATGAAAGACCATACCACAAACATGCCATTAGGATCATTACGACCAGAAAGGCGCGACCACTGTCTCTTGCAAACGGCCCTGAAATGCTTATGGCAAACACATGTCGCAACTAGTTGTAATTCTCTGCCAAGATTTACGTCATCTTACCACCCACGACGAGCACTGCGACCACGATGACCACGACGACAAGGACAACAACGACGAGGACGAAATGCGCCTGGCGTGCCAATCAATTAACACTCTCTTCTCTAAGGACTTGAGGAGGGACCCCAAATAGGGACCCTTAATCCCACTACCTGAAATAACCATTGTACAGTCCTTATATACCCCTGATATAGCCAGGTTGTCTCCATATTAACCCCAATAACCTACAAGGGTACCTATTAAGGGTCACTCCTAAAGCCCTAGATCTTCACTTCTAATGTAAGAACCCTATAGTGCTACCACAGTGCTTGGTGCAAAAGAAAACCCCTTGCGACAAAAAGAAAACCCCTTGCGACAGAAACCCCGTTGTGCTAAAAACCGCAGCAACGAAGCCCTGAATGCAAACCCTGATTCCCTCTGAAAATCCTGACTCTTAAACTCTAAGCCGAAACCCTCAGCACCTTCATGCTGCCCCCAAACCTTGAACCCCCAAACCTAGGCTCCTGGCTCGTGTGCCCCTCGGCACCGGCGCAGGGCAAAGCGCCGGGGCACCCAGGGCGGAGCAAAGGCGTTGAGCGACCTACCGGTTTATGGTTTAGGGTGCAGGGCTCCTTTGAAGTGATCTACATGGCTTTACAGGGTTTGTATGGGGTTCAATGGGTTTTCAATGGAAAGGATTCGGCCTGGCATATTTTAAACGGAAATTCGATGCACGATGAAGAGCCCAACTTGAACAACAGCTTTCGATGTGGACATTAAAATCGACATGATTGAAGAAGCCAGGACATTGAAGGATTCTGGGGCAACAGCAGTCAGGTTACGACCCGCACCGAGGTTTATGGCGACTTGGAGAACACGTCCGTAGGTCTTGAGGCCCGTGGAAGTGCAACCATTATACAAAAGCATTGCGCAACAAACATATGTAGCTGAATCTGAGTGTTTTCTAGCTGTATTGGCTGGATTTAATGTATATATGTTGTTCGGGGGCGCTTGGCATTGTTAGCTCCCGAAGGTCAGCCTCTTGCAACCACTTGGTCGAATTAAGTAGCAGTTTTCGACCGTGGCAGCGGTAATCAGAAATATCGAGTTGTGTTCACTCCCGGAAGGTCACGTTCCATCACCGTCTCCGCCTGGTCAGCCTGTTGACCTCTTCCGGAACATCCGCCCGCCATCTGCCGTCTCAGATGCCGGTTTTCCATGAGGGTGTGCTGAGAAGTCACGAGGCCAAGTCGTGCACATGAGGGGCTTAGGGTTTAGGGTTTANNGGTTTAGGGTTTAGGGTTCTATCATCTGGTTGCATTCTCAACAGCAACGTGACGAGGATGTCTGCTTTACTCACCGGGCTCCCAAATGTCGCTTTACCTTGGCTGCACACACATCAATCTGTGTTCGGGTTGGGATGAAGGTTTTAAAGATCAGGGTGTTGCTTGACAACTAGAGTAAGGTGTGGGGGGGGGGGGGGGGGGGCAGGGCGTCACGGACCTCCGGTAAGGGACAACTTAGGTTATGTACGGTGTTAAGGGCTTCTTCGGGTTTATGTAGTATGGAAACCACAGGGTACGCCGTTAAACCATGTGCAACAAGCATGCGATACTTTTCTACACGCAAGGCCTGAACATACGGTCGCGGCAGCAATCAACATGACGACTGTACACGGTTACATGAACTTCTACGTATGGTACGATGCAAAACAACATCTAGGTCTAGGGCTCCGGGTTTGAGGTTTAAGGCTTAATGGAAGGATGGTTTGACGCTTATACTTCAAGCGGTCCTGGGCAATACTGGTGCTAAGTATTTCATTCAAGCCCACTAGCAGCTAGCAGGGATTATATACATGTGCCAAAACCCCCAGAACAAAACGGGAACAAGACACTCGCCCATCTTCCTAAGGAGGCCTATCGCCAACATCCAAACATAAAACCTTCTGCAAACATTGGTCAAAGTTCCTTACACCATATAAGCCTTAATTTTGAACCGTAAACACCCAAAGCCGTACACCCTAGCTAGGGTTCGCAGTCCATTTGCTCACCTCCCGCTCTTCACGGCCGGTGAGTCCCCAGGCAAATCTTTGCGCGCTGCAATGCAACCTGGTCCATTGGGCGGGTAAGGTAGGGTTTAGGATTAAGCATTAAGGGTTTAAAGGGTTAGGGGGTTTCGGGGCTGAGGGGTTTAGATTCATAGACGGTTTGAAAATTTGGGTTCAAGATTCAGGCTTCCTTCGTTTTTGACAAGATTTACACCATCATTGCAGCATCACCTGCGCCAAAGCGTGCCCGTGCAAGCGGCCGGCAAATGTCCGTTAACACTCAAAGTTTGAAGTTTACGGGTTTAGAGTCTCAGTCTCTTGAAGAGTAGGTTCAGACACCTGAATAGGAGGGTATGGGTTGATTCGGATGTAGGCCTGTGGAAGGTCTTGTTCTTAACGTTTTATGAGTTTAAGTTTGAACGGCTCCTTCAAGGGTTCCTTCGTAAGGTATTTACAGGGGTTCCACAAGGGGTTCAAGCACAAGGTATCACCTTGGCAACGGTGTGCTGTTACACCTGCATGACAATAGGCTCTACATCTGACATCCTCCGGCACAGAGGGGGCGCACATGCCACATGCCACCACCAACACCGAGAGTTCGACAACCAAACATGATTCTCCGTTTGCTCAAATGATTCGCATGTAGAACGCGACATCTAAGATGCCACATCAACCCGTGACGTTTTACATGTATTTGTCGCCCGAGAACCCTGCTGCAAAATCCGATTGTATGCAAATGCTTTCTCCGATGCAACATCCGCACAAACAAGGCAGTTTCTGCACGTGCATTTTGAATGATATGTTACTCAAGAGGCAGTTCACGCAAGCGATGAAAAAACCCAACTTCCCATGCTCTGAGAGAATCCTGATGAATTCCAGGAAGAAGACTACTCCATCCTTGCCAACTCGCAAAATTGGAAAGGAGGATCGTGCTGTAAGCTCTGCCCGAAAATTTCACCACGGCAAACGCAGCACAACATTTTCCTAAAGCTCCGGCAAGGCCATGCAATTGAGATCTCGTTCACGTTATGTGTGCCGAGACTGCTGCCACTACTGCCCCCTTAGCTTACTTAACTTGCACGCAGGCAAGCCCTTCAACCGGAGCCTCAGGACGGGCAGAACACTGGCTGCATCCACTGGCTACCGCGGGCCGATCTGCTAACAGTCTGATATTCAGCACAGCAATATTGCCTTACTAGTACTTACTTCTATCGCGGCCCAAAGTAGTGCAGCAATCTGCCAATGTGTCATAAAGAGACATGGTACTTGCGTGGGATCGGAGGGGTCGCAGGACAATGCCAGACACTGAAAACTGACCACATCATTAGTCATTGTACAACAATATGGCTGCATATTGCCATGGTAGCCTAGAAATGGCGCCAGAACCTGAACAGTGGAAGGCTACATCGTCCAGCCAGTTTTATTATACAGGGGAGCTAAATCTTATAAGTCATGCTTCAAGGTCGTGTACACAGGTATGTATATATATATATATATGTATACACACACACTTATGTTTATACTTTGAACATCAAGTACATATATCATATAAAAATGAAACAGATGTATATATTATGAATAAGAAGATGAAGAATACACATAAATAAGGATATATATATATATATATATACACATGAATATCTCTGCATATATCTGTACATATATATATATATATATTTATATTTATGTGTGTATATATATATATATATATGTGTTTGTGTGTCTATGCGATAGCTCTATCAGGAGCTAGGCTACGGGCAATAGCCTCGAAGCTGCAAGTCGAAACCCGAAACACTGGAATTCAGGGTGTAGGTTTAGAGTTTAGGTTTGGGGTTTCGGGTGTTGGGTTGAGGGCTCGAAACCTGCAAAAATCGAAGCCCCAAAGAACCCCAAACCTTACCCCTACGTTTCTTCAATCAGAGCCAGCAGGAGCAGTTTCTGCTTGCTGCTGTTGGTGCCCAAAATTAGACCATAAACATAAAAATGGATAGGGACATCCCATTAAAAAACAAAACCCTTATCATAACATAAACTCCGGTAAGGTAGGGATATCCTCGCAAGCTGTATATGCTTACATGCTTCGTCCCCCAAGCGGAATTTGGGTGTTCTTGCATGTTCCTAAACCCCAACCCTAGCTCGAAAGTCCTACATCCCTTGTGCAGACCCATTGATTGATAACCACAGGGTTTAGGGTTTAGGGTTTAGGGCTTTGGGTTTGGGTTTAGGGTTTAGGGTTTAGGGTTTAGGGTTTACCACAGAAGGCAGCCTGAACCCAATCGTTACTGGTCTGAATTGTCAATGTGGAGCGGGGGTGGGGGGGCAACTCTTCACCGCCTAGCATGTGCCAGGTTTCGGGTCGAGTCAGTTTAGGTTCTGGGGCGTAGGGTTTTAGGGTTTTGGGGTTTGAGTCGAGGGTTTCTGACGGAGAGCCTGGAAAGAACTCCTAAACCCCTAACCTCTCACCATGCAGAGGACTCTAGCTTCTCCTAAGGTTGCAAGGGACGCACTAATAAGGTACTTTGGTTTAGGGTTTAGGGCTTCGGGTTTAGGGCTTATGGTTTAGGGTTTAGGGCTCAGGGCTTAGGGTTGCGGATCGTCGTTATCTAGGTTAAAATTTGGGAGAGTGTATGACTATTAGGTACTTGTCTGACTGGCCCAAAACCCAAGGAGATAAAAGTTGAAACTTTCAGAATCGACTACCTATAAGAACCCCAAAAGTTGAAAAGTTGAGGGTTCCCATGTTTTTTTGGATTGGTCGGGTTTCGGAGCCTGCTGGCTAAAGGGTTGAAGGCTTTAGGGCTTTGGGGTTTAGGGTTTAGGGTTTAGGGTTAGGAACCCTAAACCCTAAACCCTAAACCCTAAACCCGGTCTTAAGGTTGATGGCTGTGGCTTCCGGTCTAGAAGTGAGGATGTCGAACAAAAACCAGGATACTCCTGAAGTCACTCCTAGGTTCTGTCATGGACTCATAAATACAAAGCATACAGTGTCGCAAGGCCTTGTCTATTATCCGTTTAGGATGGCTCAGGGCTTAAGGGTTCTTGGCTTTCGTGTTTAGGGTTTAGGGTTTGGGTTTAGGGTTTAGGGTTTAGGGTTTAGGGTCTAGGGTTTAGGGTTTGGGGTTTAAGGTTTTAGGCATTGGTAAGTACAAGACACACCAGACGTGCAACAAGACAAGCAGCGTCTGATCCTTGCGCAGGCACTCATGCATCCTTGTCGGGATGCTTGGCCATTGGGTGCCAAAGACGGGCTACGATAAGAACCGCAAACAACGGGCGCTATAAGGGATACCATAATCAGGATACTATGACGGGTCCTCTAACTGTAAGGGGTCGCGTAAGGCGTAGTGCCCGGGTTCTGTAAGGGTTCGATTCGAAGGCCTGCACATTCAGGATTTGGGGCTAAGCTTCGGGTGCACTCGCGGCTCCAACATTCAGCGACTTACGGGTTAAGGCTTGGGGTTTAGAGTCTAGGGCTTAGGGCTCTGGTTTAGAGGTCCAGGGTCCCGGGCTCCAGGGCTGGGGGCTACGGGGTGTAGGCTGAAGTCTAGGGTTTAGGGTTTAGGGCTTTAGGGTTTTAGGGTTTGGGGTGTAGGGTTTCGGGTTTAGGGTTTAGGGTTTTGGGGTTTAGGGTTTAGGGTTTTAGGATGTAGGGTTTTAGGGTTTAGGGCTTAGGGTTTTAGGGGTTTAGGGGTTTAGGGGTTTAGGGTTTAGGGTTTATTTAGGGTTTATTTAGGGTTTAGGGTTAAGGGTTTTAGTTTTAGGGTTTAAAGGGTTTAAAGGGCCTTTTCTGTTGCTTGCACTCCACAAAGCCCTTGTTGGGCTTGAGGATTTAGGGTTTAGGGTTTGGGCCTCTTTGTTGAGACCAAAGCTTATACATGAAGGCAGAGCTCCCACCGAATATAGGCCCTGACAACTCGATTAGCGTTATGGGATATACTATCCTATACCGACAAAAAGTTAACCCTAAACAGTACTAAATGACATGACATAATATTCCGAATACCTGAGCCCCAAATAACCTACCTCTTCAAGGACATTTGTAAGGAAATCATAATGAGGAAACCCTGAACAGGCAGGTTTTATAGGGTCCAGGTAGTTCAGTTCTATACCACCCTAAACCCTAAAACCCCAAAACGCTAAAACCCTAAATCCCGAAATCCCAAACCCTAACACCCTCGACCCAAAGCCCTGAACCGAAGTCATCTTCGAGGATCAGAGCTCGAAGTTCGCTCCAAGGAGCCTCGCAGAGGGGCTGTGGACTAGGGCCTAGGGTTTTAGGGTTTAGGGTTCTAGAGTTTAGGGCTTTAGGGCTTAGGGTTTTAGGGTTTAGGGGTTAGGGTTTGGGGTTTTAGGGTTTGGGGTCTAGGGTTTCGGAGATTTAGGGTTTAGGGGTAGGGTTTAGGGTTTAAGGTTCTATACGGTGTGACAAAGTGCTTGCTTTGCCATTGCGGATTCCTAAGGCGTCATTCGTTCGCTAGTGCTTTCGCTATGTCCGCATGTTGCTGTCATTGTTGGCTAGTTGTTTCAGTACTTGTCTGGCTTCCGCTCCTTCCCTAAACCCTAAGCCCTAAACCCTAAACCCGAAACCCTAAACCCGAAACCGCAAACCGTATGGTTCAGTCTTTCTGTCTTTGTGCCTTTCTACACTTCTTTAAGTTCGTTATTTGTGTATCAATTTGTTCATGTCTGCTAGTGTGTTAACTTCTTTCTTTCCCTGAATAAAAATATGATAATGAAAAATACATATACACGTACATACATACATACATACATACATACATACATACATACATACATACATATATATATATATATATACATATGCTGCATGTGCGAGTATATGCCTTATATATACACGTATACAGGCTGTTATTCTTATTCCGACTGTTATTTTTTGTGAATACATGGATATCAAACAGAAGTTTGGCATTGGATCTCGTGGCTCAGGGATTACGCAGTTGGTTGCAGGGAGAGCCAAGGCCTCCCGATGCAACTTGAAGTGAGACATGGTCGCCTTTGGGTCTAGGGCTTACAGGGTTTAGGGCTTAGGGTTTAGGGTTTAGGGTTTAGGGCTTAGGGTTTAAGGTTTAGGGTTTAGGGCGTACAGGGTTAAGGGTTTAGGGTGGCTGCAGTGAAGGGTAGTCAGGGGGCATGTAAAGTTCATAGGCCACTCCATTATACCTTGCACCCTATAAAACTAAGCCCTAACTATAAACCGTAAATCCGACACCCTAAACTCTAAACCCTAAACCTTTTCAGCCCTGAACCCTGCTTGGTCAAGAAGGTTCGATGAACGTCAGTTCGTCCGTGAAAGACGCATCCAGGGCTCCTAAATATTGTTTCAAAGTCCAAAGCCAAGCGCTCCACTCTCCATGCTCTGCTTCGCAATTAGCAGGTCTAAAGACATCCGGTTTCGGAAGCAGCCGGGCCATATCGGCCCCGGCTAGCCCCGACTTGCCTGAGTCCCTTGCTGCAGCCAACGCTGCTTGCGCAGCCGTGCTGGCTGCTTGCGTAACTTCCATCATCTGTCTCATCATCAACACCGGGTCGCTCTGGCTCAGGGACATCATGTTTGCAGGGTTGCTGGCACTAGCAGTTCCACCAGGACTAAAGGGGTTTGTGGAAGGATCGGGCCCTATTGCCAACTCCGGATCATCCTCATTCACGCAATGCACAGCTGAAGGAATTGCAATTCAAGTCGACTTCGGCACTGCCTGGTATCAAATGTTGCTCAAACACTCCTACGGTGCGATCCTGAAATTCAATGTCACGCTCACACTCAGCAAGAGGGTGCACTGACGCAGTCTGCAAATGCTCTGGCACGGCGGTCCTATGCACGTCTTCACAACCAAAATCTCTGAAGGCTTCCTTCAGGTAATCCTTTCTAAGGCACTTTTCCCCATGAAACACCGAGTCCACGGTAGTTAAACTTTCAAGGTGATTTTCGAAGCTTGCCCTACAGGTGCTAAGAATCTTGTCCCAAGAAGTTCCTGAACGACCGATCGGTTTCGGCCTCTCACAGCCAGCCACGACCCGACTCCCCAGGGTTTAGGGTTTAGGGTTTAGGGTTTAGGGTTTAGGGCACAGGAAAAAATACGAAACCCAACTAGGTGTAGGTTGTCATGTACATGGTTTAGGGCTTAGGGTTTAGGGTTTAGCATTTAGGATTTAGGGTAGGACCTAGTTTCAATCCTAAACCGCCCAAACCTAGAGCATTTTCTCTCTGAGTTGAGCCCTCTTGAACCTTTCGAGGCGCAGGCCTGCGACATGAAGGATTGGCTACGACCAACAAGTGGATAGTTCTCAAAACTGGGCTCCCTTTTTAGGTCCCCAATCTAGTACGGCACCCTGGTAAAAAAAAAGGAGCCTGAAAGGGACCCTAATTTAGAGAACTACCCAAGTAGGATGTCGTGGATTGAATTAGTAAC